TAGGGTTCTTAGCTAAAAAAACATATTTCATATATGTTTACCTGTATAGCATAATAGATCATTCGATAATGCACACGTGGGATATTTTAATAATATGACAAGTAGTTTATAAATTAATAATATTAGTTTAATTAGGTAGTTTAATAATTTTATTATATATTACTTTAATTATTTTAATAAATTTATAAATGTGCTGCGATTAAAAAAAAAAAAAAAAAAAAATAANTAAAAAAAAAAAAAAAAAAAAATTAGTCATTAGCAATTATTTAATATAAATTATATTAAAGAGTTATCAGCGACTTAAATCAGATTATATAAAGATGCTATAGTTTAATAGGGACATTATAATCTAATAGAGACACTATAATTTAATAGAAACATTATAGTTTAATGAGGATATTATAGTCTAATAATAATTTTATAACCTAATTACATAATTTAATGGTAACTTTATAACCTAATTGTATAATTTAGATGTAACTTCATAACCTATTTGTAATTCTATAATCTAATTTCTAGATCTTTTTAGAGCAGTGATATTTATTATATAATATCTATTTACTATAAGCTTATACCTACTCACCTCTATATTTTATGAAAAATTTTACATTACACTTATATATTATATGACCTTCAAATACTTTTCCATCCCTTAAAATATTATATAATAAATGTCACTGCCCTTATGGTTCTCTAGATATTATTATAGTTTATTCTTACTATATTACTTTATACAACTCTTTAATCCAATGATAACCTTATAATTTAATAGTAATTGGAATTCTTTAATCTAATAGTATCTACATAACCTGATAGTTATATTTTTTTCTTCATCCTTTTCATTTTTATTATTTTTAACTATCCATTTGTTTACAATACTCTGCGAAATTTTTATCAATAAAGAGATATTTATTTATTTACCTGTTTTCAGATCTTTTTGATTGCTTGTTAAGATACTAATAATGCTTTCCTTTTACACCTGTTTGGCAGTCTTTTAAGGTATTGAAGTGACGTAAAAAAATATCTCAAAAGGACTAATACCATATGCAAAAAAGTTTTGTAAATTAAAGAGACAAATACAGAAAACCATTTTTGTAAAGTCGGTAGAAAGTAATCTTTTAAATTATGCAAACTGATTGGTAAAAAAGTTTAAAACAATTCTTTGATACCATATATAGAAATGATGGACTATGAATAGCCAATAAGGAGAAATTATTTGATAAATACATATGCTAATAAAAAACTTAATAAAAATCAAGTTGAATTCTTTGGTAAGTATCAAGTAGCTTAAACTCAAAATTTAAGTTTTGGTATAAAAACAGTATTATGCAAATACTAAAGTTATTTAGTAATAAGTTTTTTATAAATGACAGCAATATTAAAAGATAAATATTCATCAGCAAATTGTTTAATGACAAAATTCAGAGAGCAGAAAAGATTGAATCAAATATCTAAGGTAAAAAGAGTGTTTAGTAAAATGGGATTTAAGAAAAATGGTGAAGTATTAGTTAAGTATAAAGGTAATTAAATTAAATTTAACCAAACGATTAGAAGAGAATGAACTTAAAAACTTATATTTGTTGTAATTTGTGAATACATTATTTAGTGAATAAAATTCTTCAGTAATGAAAAGCAAAATTTCCAAACTAGTCTTAAAAGAAGTAAGTGGAATTATTTATAAATGTAAACTGAGAAACTGTATAGGATTCTATAATAGATTAAGGAGGAGAAAGATTGATAAAGAAAATGTATAATAGGAAATAAGAATGTGAAGCAGCAGCATCTAATTCTGTCAATAAAAAATCAAAATAGATAACCCAAATTAAGGTTAGTGTAAGTCAACTATCCAGCATGTTTCAAAATCCAGTTCATTATCAGAGAGAAATTCTAAAACAAAAAGGCTAAGGCCAAGTAAATAAATTTATTCGTTTCTCATGACCGGGCGGGTCATGTAAATGTTACGAAAAGATAAAAAAATTTATTTTATTTGGTCATGTAATTTTGGTTTTGACCAATCATAATCATAAAAAAATAATTTTTTTTTCCATCCGGTAACCCGGGCAAAAAATTTATTAAATCAACCAATCATCTTCTAGGAATCAGCTAAATTTTTTTTTGAAAATAAATTTTTTTTCCGGGCGGCTGGGTCAAATTTAGCAATTTTTTTTCATGAGAAACGAATAATTTTATTTCTTTGGCCTAAACTAGAACCCCAAATATTACTAAAACAACTCAGATTCTATGTAACTAAAATTTTAAAATGCGATATCCCAGTCAATATTATACCTAAAAAAAAATGAATTATATATCAAAATGTTCGTCTCATTGAGACGAATCTAACAAGTTAAAAATTATTAAAATCCAATTACTGGATCCCAAGATAGAAAAATTTGAGTCTAAAATCTATATATACTGTAACTTTATACATTTGGAACAGAAATTAATTATAAGGTTTATACAAATTCAGATCTGAGTTTTTTTAGTAATATTCAAGGTCCTGCTAAACTATTAAGTGACGTAGAAAATTCAAATGTGAAATCCAGATCCATCCTAAATTATAGAAGAGAAAACTTAGGAAATTCAGAAATCTGAATCAACTGTTATTAGAGAAGAAAGATTTAAAGTTAAAGAAGGGATAGAAAGAGAAGTTTTCAAAGGGGTTGAGGAAGATTTAAGAGTAAAAGTAATTCTTTAAGAAGATTTCTAATGGTAAAAGAAAATATTATGACAAATTTAAATATTCATATAAAAGTGAAAATAAAAGTTATTGAAGAGAGGAGTTAAAATAGAAAACACCATTTATTGTAAAAAAAATTTTAAAAGAAAATCGGTTAAAAGGCTAAGAACTAAATCACAAGTGAACAAAAGACAGAAATCCAAAGAGAAGACACAATTCCAACAATTCAATTTATTAAAATTAGATGTAAAGAAGTTTGGAAAAGTAGAGATTTTTCATGAAATTTAAAAAGGCAAGTATTTCAAAGGTTGTAAATTAGAATTTGATGACTAGAGCAGTATTGGATAATTGAACAATTGGACGTTTTGGACATTTGTCCAAAACCTGTCCAAAACTTGTCCAAAACCAAAACCTTTTTTTCATTGGACAGGGTTTGGACAGATCACATGACAAAAAATTTAATTTTGGCCAGAATTATAACTAATTTTAGCTAATTTTAATTTTAGTTCAATTATTAAATTACTTCAAAAATCTTTAAATATGAATTTTTAATATTATTTGATTTTACATTAATTTTTATCATTTAATTAATATTAAATATTTACTTTTTTAACATTTTAACATTATATTTTTATTTTATTTTTAGTTTCAGTTGATGAATATTAGAACTCTTGAGCAGTTTTAAACTGTCTAAAACTATGTCCAAAACTGGTTTGGACAGTTCAAAATTATCCAATTAAAAAAACCAATTGGACAAGTCCAAAACCCAACATTGGACTAGAGCATGAAGAAAATTCTGGTAAAAAAATAGAATAGGTCCATAAATAATCTAAATTCTCAAAAGTCAAATTATATTGCGAACAAAGTCAAGAAGGTAAGTATATATGTAGTTGATGCTTTTGAAGAGTAGACAAGGTAGGAAATATGTCTAAAAGAAGTTTGATATAAAAGGCATAAAATTGATCATTTTTGTGTGAAGTGAAAAATTTGATTTAAGAGAAGCAAAAGTAGATACAAGCCCAGTTGAAAAGCGGAGAGAAACTGAATGCAATAAAATAAGAAAGTGGGCAAAGATTAAATATAAATTTAAAAAAATGACAAATATTAATATCCATAGATAAAGAGTTAAATGTGAGAAGAAATTGATGGAAATCAAGAATGGTATGCATTTTCATGAGAATATCAATTTAATTATTCAAAGAATTATCAGAATGAGCAGGAATTTTTTGAAAGAAATATTAAGATAGCGCATTTTGATTAGAGAACATATAGAAAGTTATAGTAAATGAGAATTTTTTTTTAAAAATCTCAGAAAAAAAGGCATGTTCATATAAGTAAACCAGAAGGAGATAAGTTGAGAACAATCTGAGATAATAGTGATCTTAGAATCAGAAGCAAGAAAAGCCAATTTTAAAAGCAAAGCAGCAGTTTCAGTTTAAAATACAAATGGAAAATTTTTGAATAAATTAATAAAAAAGAATTTCAGAATATATTTATCGTTATCTAAAGTAATCCAAATGCAAGTCATAGATTGAAAGAATGAAGAAAAGATAGGAAGAAATAAACCATCAGTGTAAAGATTAGTAACAGAAGAAGGTAAATAATCAACAGCAGGTAGATCTAGAAGTCGTACAGAGAAAAGAGAAGAAGATGCAAGAATAAAATAGAAGATCAAAAATTTCATATATTGTAATGATATTAAGAATTACATCAATACGCAGAAGGCTGAAATCTTACTTCGCCAAGTATAATATTTAATAGTGAAAGAGAGCAGGATGTTAAAGAAACAACATTCTGCAGGACAAAATGTATGCAAAAACTTGCATAAAGAATGGTTTTGATTATTAAATCCACAACTAGAACAGGAACAAAAACTGGAATAGTTAAATAAGAAAAAAGTTGAAGAAAATATCCAATATGATATGACTTTGATTATTTGATATTTCCATAAGAATTAGTAACTGATAATAAAGATCATGGTACAATAAAAATCATATGACTTAAAATTCAGATAATTAATTAGTAGATCAATTATTATGTAATCAAATCATTTTGTAGATTTGATTAATGTTATATTTATTATTTTTATTATTTATATTATTTATATTAGAAATTTGCTATTTATTACCATTGGTGGTCAGCACCAATATCATGTAATTATAATTAACTAATAGTATTAATGTAATTAATTTAATAATTTTATTTAACTTTATATAATTTTACATGACTAAAAAATTATATATATTTTTAATTTTTGAGAACACCCTAATCAATTAAATAATAATAAATAAAATAAGTAATAAGAAATAAGAAATAATAATAAGAACAAAAAGAGTAATAAAAAACTAGTATGAAATAGTAATGGAAAAAAAATAATAGAAGACGAAATAGCAATAAAAAGAATAGTATAGATGAAATAATGATGAAAAGCAATATAAAATGAAATTGTGATATATAGAATAAAATGGTAATAGAAAAAATAATGTAAAACAAAATGATGATAGAAAAAACAATATAGGATGAAATGGTGATAAAGGGAGACGAAATGATAATGATAAAGTAATATAAAACAAAATGGTAATGGAAAAGAACAATATAAGATGATTTAGACGAAATAGTAATAAAAAGAACAGTATATATAGAATGAAATGATGATGAAAAGTAATATAGAATAAAAGGTGATAGAAAAAAATGATAGGAAATGAAATGGTAATTAAAGAAATGGTATAGATTGAAATGATGATAAAAAAGTGATATAGAATGAAATGGTGATAGAAATAATGATATAAAACGAAATGGTAGATAAAAGAAACAAATAATAATGATAAAATGATATAAAACAAAATTGTAATGAAAAAAAAAAATAGGATAAAATAGAAATGAAAAATGAAAGAATAATGTAAAACGAAGTGGAGATGGAAAAAGAATGATAGATGATGAAATAGTGGTGAGAAAAATGATAGGAGATAAAATAGTAATGAAAGGACAAAATGATAATAAAAAAGCGGTGTAGAATGAAATGGTGATAGAAAAAATAATATAAAATGAAATGGAAATGAATAAATATATGGAATAAAATGGATATAGAAAAAGAATGATAAAAGATGAAATAGTGATAGAAAAAAGTGATAGAATAATATGGGCTGCATGGAATAATAAGAAAAAAACAAAAAAACCATAAAGCTCAGAAAAAAAGTAAACAGTCCAACCAAAAAAAAGAAAAAGATAGTTAGTTAAAAAAAATAAATTTTCAATTCCAAAAAGTCCAAAATAACTTACTATTTACTAGGATACTAATGCCAAAGTTTTAAAGCTGTTAAAAGGTAGAAAAAACTACTTACAAAAAATGACGAAGTGGAATGACAAATAAAATGAAAAGAAGGAAGAATACAGTCAACTCTTAATATAACGAAGTTGGCGTCCGGGCTGATCAGGCCTTCGTTATAGGAATATTCGTTAATATGATGGGAAAATCTGGTATAACCCGGAAAATTTTTGTATATTATGGTATATTGTCGTATAATAATTGTATCTTATAATGCAAAAACGCAAGTTACACAAAATATCTTCGTTATATTGAAAAAAAATTCGTTATAAAAGAAAATTCGTTATTAAAAGGGGCATTTTTCATATACGGTTTATAAAATTTACTTCGTTAAACGGTATACAGCATTTAATTAGTAAAATTCGGTATAATGAGATTTTTTTCATATGTTAAAATCTGTACCATACTGAAGATCTGTTATATTGTAAAATTCGTTATATCAAAATTCGTTATAAGAAGAGTTGACTGTAGTTAATATTAATAATGAAGGAAAAAAAGATATACACAACATTGAGAAATATGTATAACTTATCAAAGTAAAATAAAATAAAAATAAACTAATAAATCTGATGAATAACACAATATAAATAAAATTTATATTATTTATATTATTTTTATTATTTTTATTATTTCTTTTATGTATTTTATTTATTTTATTTATTTTAATTATATTATTTTTCTTATATTTTATTCTTATATAAATATTTTTGGATTTTTTTTGAATTAAAGAAAGTAGAAATAAAGATTGAAATATATTAAGTTTAAATAGTATAAATTAGGGATTAATTTATAATAACTATTCAATAAACTTTTATATTAAAAATAAATGAACTGTGATTGTGTTATATTTTTATGTATTATGTTTTTGCATGTCTTGCTGATATAAACTATATTATAGCTATTATCTTCCTAATGTCTAATTATAGTTAACAAAGTTTGAAACAGGCTTGTTAACAAAGTGGTGATTCCTACCAAATTATAAGAGATTATGACTATTTCTAACATATCAATACAATTTTCTGCTGATGCAATAGCTTTCTTTGTATCATAAATTATATCTTTAAAAAAGGTAACTGAAGACAAAATACATAACATTTCTATGCTAATTTTGCAGACTATTAAACATATTTTTTTGAATGATAACCCTTCATCCTAACCCTCTTTTTTTCTGGCTTATCATCCAAATAACCATATTCTTTAATAACCCAACTACCACATCTAAAACTCTTTTCATTTATTTTTATATATATATAAAGCAAAAAATGTAATTTATAATTAAAAAAGTATACCATATATAGTAAATATATTTATTATATTTTATTTGTATTACTGGTCAATAGAAAAATGATAAAATTTTAGCAATATATATATAAAATCAACTTAGGACCCCAGACATCTCTTATAGAACTCACAACTGTCTTTTTACTAAAAAAGACCCAATTTGCTTTTTTTTTATTTTCTGTTTTTTTGCGATTATCTCGGTATCCAGTGATCCGATTCATGCAGATTATTTTTTATTTTGTAGAGCTTGATGAGAACTACAAAACAAAAAAAAGTTTGTACAAATTGGACCACTAGATGCTAAGATAATTGCAAAAAACTGATTTTTTTTTGTAAAATTTAGGTTAATCTGCAAAAAAGTTGCCACTGAGTTGTATATGTAATGTCTGGGGTTCTATCAATTTTTTATTAGTTTAATGTAATATGAAATTGGAAAATGCTAACCTTAAGATAAAACTATTATTATTTTAGTTTCAGATTATAAGCTGAAATTTAATGCAAGTAAAATTAAAAGAATATATTATCATAAAAAGAAATAAATTTTTAGGTTCTGTATTACAATAATTATCGCTGAAGTAACCTTTTCACTTAAGGGATATTTGGAGATATACGTATAAATATACAGGTGGTTCACTTTAATTCTTCTAATTCCTTTAGTTGTCTTAATATTTATAATTTTCTGCAATTTTTTAATATGTTGTAATCAAAGATATAGGATAAAATTATATAAAGATTATTGTTAGTTAAAGTATTTTATAGTATAGGAATTAATATTGTTATAGTTTAGTTTAATTTAGTTTATTAATATGTGATTAGCATGTGATTTAATATATGATTTATAGTAGTATAAATATTATAGAATATTGTAGAATATTGTAGAATATTGTAGAACAATTTATAGTATTACAATAGTTTAGTGAAACATTAAGGCTGGAATTTGACTTTTGTCAAGAGCTTTTAGCTTTTAACTTACTATTAATAAAAATAATATTAATTATTAAAAATTAATTTAAATATGCTCATGATATATCTGAGATTTAATTAATATTTAAATTATAAAGTCTAGAGAAATAAAATATGGAAAATTATCCCAGTTTAATTATTTGATGTAAAGTTTATTTAGTATAAGGAAAATTATTGAAGTTTGAAAATTAAATTCAAAGTTATAAAAGAAATAAAGAAATGTTAAAATCTAAATCAAGCATAATGTTAAACTGAGTAATAATTAGTTTACTAATATATGGTAGATATCAGTGATAATGCTTCTGTTATTGCAAATGTTAAATCAACAAATTATTTCATTACAAACTCAATAAACTTGAAAGTGAAAATACTACATACCTTTAAAGCAATGACATAATCTATTGTATATATCATATGGGCTGATTTGATGCATTAAGTAGTAAATTTGTTATTTATTAAAATTTTGTTAAAAAATTTCAATAAAGTATTTTTTTTCTATATAACAATAATGGTAAAAAGTAACAAATTTACTTTAGTTACAAAATTATCATTTTTGGCAAAATAGTATAAAGTTATAATAATAATCATCTATCGTCTTCTCAAAAACCTGTTGTTCACCTGTTGGACATGTCTTAATTTTGGCTGAAAATACCATAATTTTAGCCAAAATTCTTTAATAATGTTAGCCAAATCCATTTTATACGTTAAATCAGCTCATATGATTTAACAAGTGGAATAGATGCTTTATTGATTACTATTTTTATTGTGAGAAATGACCATAATCAGTACAGTCTATGACATTTGAAATCTATTATATAAGATTCCATCTACTTTTCTAGTTATCGCAAAAGAAAAACTTTAGTAATTGTATATAATATAATAAACTTCTTTCATATAATTTATTGCAAGTATTGAAACACATACCCATATTCAAAAATATACTGGATTTTTCTGGCCTGCCCTTATTTTTTAATTGTATATTGATCAATTTACAAATTTTTAAATATGTTTTTAAAAAGTCTTTCTGCATTTAGAATGGAATACATCTTAATGGTTTAATTTCTAAATTTAGAATTATAACATTATCTATCATGCAGGTTAGATCAGGTCTTTCTTTGATCCTGCAGTGACATGATTTAAAATAACTTTATATTTCTTTAAGGAATTAACAAAGAAAGGTTTAGTGATCAGATAAAGGAACTTGTAGCAGTATTCTTCTTCTCTATTATTTTAAATGAACCTGCTGATAAATCACTACAATTCACAAACCAATAATAAACAACAATATATTATAAATGAGATGATTTAAATAAACTATTATGTACCTCTATATGATTACTGAATGCTGAGATATTTAGCAAAATGTAAAATTTTGCATTATCGTAAAATGAAAATACCAATTTTTAATATTTTGTTAAATATACAAATTATTAAATAAAGTTGCTATTTTTTTATTTAATATTAATTTTTCATATTCATAAATACTTCTTCATCAATAAAATTCTCATAACTTGCTCTGTGAAGAGATATTGAAATCTTCTGTGAAAATGAAGAGTTTTCGTTTGTATGAGAATTGGTTTTTATAATCTTTACTCATTTTTAATTTGTAAATATATGATATAGACATAGCTAACAGATAACTATAATCAATGATAATGCTTTAAATAAGGTGACAAAAAGATTTTTTTAATAAATCCAACTATTATAAAATGTTATGTTTCAGAATATTTACAATAACTTATAAATATCTTTATAATATAAGCCTCTTTATTCTGCTTTTCTAAGTACATTTTTTTGGTATTCTTGAAATCTATCAGTTATGTTTATATTGCTAACTTTCTACTAAAAAAAAGAAATAAAACTAAAGATATGCAAAATATAGAAACTAAAATATATGTAACATACTTTAACTATTGGTTTGCATTGAAATTCTAATGAAATATCAGAAAGATCAAATTTTATTTTTTCATTACTCTCATTCTCAAGATCTTCACTTGATTCAACTATCTTCTTATTTTTATTTTATATGTTCATGGCATTAATAAAATTAGTATATTCATTAAATAACAGATTAAATAGAACCCCGGACATCACATATATAATTCATAACTGATCTGTATGAATTTAGCACTTTTTACTTCTGCTAAAATAGACCTAATTTGCTAAAAATCAAATTATCACATTTTAAATCTATACTAATTTGCTAAAACTCAAAATATGAGTTATAGTAAAATTCTAAATAATATAGGTTTAAATTTGCTTAATAAAATATAATTTCAGTTTATTCAAATTATTTGTAGTTCAGTAAATTTAATTGTCAATTTACCAAAATTAACAATCTTTTTTTTTTTTATTATCAATAAAAAAATAAATAATTAATATAAATTAAACTGTTAATTTTTATAATTTATAATTAAAAATATGTAGATTATAGATAAAATAATAATTAATAAAAATAATAAATTAAATATAAATAATTATTAAAAAATAAATGTTGCGAAACTAATTAGACAGTTTTTGGCCCGCATTATGTTTAATTTTGGCCGGAATTATACT